AATTCCAATGATAAAACCAACGTTCTATGAACCAAGGAGATCAATCATAACATTTCTGTCATGGTAGCCATATTTCATTCCAATATGGCTGACACATTAACATGTATGTATCAACTCAATGTAATTTAAAAACCTAGTAAACAATATTCTAACACTAAAACCTCACAAATTCTATAACTACAAATTTCATAGGAGGTCTACAGCACTGAAAACATAACTCAGGCTAACCTACTTGTTTGAGTTATGTTGAATAAAACAACACAATTTTTTAAAATTTCAGAATGCACGTAAGTCAGATATTATTAATAAATAATTGAATGGCAAAGAAACAAACCGATGTTTGGCTCAAGGCAAAAAGAAAATGCAATAGCATAATCCAGTGGTAATATAAGAGTAGTGTAATGGTATACATAACATTAATACAATGGGTAACTGCAGTTTTAGTTCTCTTCATCACTTGAATCCATTTCTCAATCTGTTTATGAATCCTTGTAGTTATTATACAGATTGAAACATACTGTCATACAGCACTTGCAGCTAGAACTGCATGACATATTAACGTGCTTGCACAAGCATGCTGGTCCCTGGCATTCCATCTTGCACTTTTACCTTGTTATTCTTGGAAGTGGTAATGGTTCAAGCATGTTTATGACAGGAACTTAACCATCATTTCATCTTGCCAACTACACTAGTCAGGTGATGGCAGTGGTGAATTACGTTCAAGCACACTTCATCAAATTAGACGTTGATGCACAAGGGAATTGTATATAAGCAGAAATTTATCCAGAGCTTTTCCTTGATGGAATAATTTCACCGTAACATCCAAAACAGCCATCAAAGATGTTGACGGCTGATACAGCAACACAACAAACTTTTCTACACAACATACAAATTCTTATCAACATCAGGCCTACTCCCTAGACCTGCCAATAGATGTGGGAGTTTAATGAACTGTTTCCAGTTGTCTTCGTGTGACCACTGAACTGGCTGGTGGTGTCACAACCAGTGACACTGTGGAATCCAATTAGAGATGTGTGGATTGGCTCAGGCAATTCTTACATACTTTCATGAACTGGAATAATCTTATTGGGTTGCTTCTCTTTATCCAAACTTTAGGCACAAGATTATGCCACAGAAGAAGGACCAATATGTCTGTGTCATCACAGGAGAATACTAGAGAGGAGTATCCCTGACTCACTGTACGTTTGCCATGTAAAAGCATTCTTGTGTCCACCTCTTCTTGTTGTGAATGTAGTTGCAAAATATCACATGAGCTGGAGTGCTCTGCTTTTCGGTCAGCAAAACCATCAACAGCGAGCACTTGTTTACTTCAAAAACATTGGTGTGATTACTTAGGAAGTTCCTCACTTAAGAAAATTAACTATGCTTTCTTTGTTTCCTGGTAAGGTTACA